ATTAGCACCATTACCGAAGTGAGTCAGTTTATTTGCTTGATTTTAATCTGGACACGTTCTCTGATTCACACGTTCCACGATATTACTTTGATATCTTGTTAGGTAACGTTGTGTAAACATTACTCGATTTATCGAATTTAGAGAAATAGTATCCGGTGATAACGTTCCAATGGACGATAGGTGTGTGCAATCAAAGAGTTAAGGGTTTGGTTAAATAGTGAAGGATTATAGCAAGTTCATTGGGTGTGCCAATGAGTAATCCACAGAATATTATTCTCTTATTCTCCAATGATCCAGTCTCTGAAATTATTTAAAAAAAAAGAAGTCGACATTTCCTATATTATTTTGCGACGATTATCTATTAAGATTTCGGGCCAGGTTACAGCACCGAACCGGTGGTTTTCTAAGGGCTTCGAAAACGCAACAGATTCCACCCAGAGATGGTAAACGTGAGCGTAGATCGGCAATAAATCGTTTAAACGTAATTATCGCTGAGGCCTACGTGGCCAGGCAGTATTTCACGTAGTGGAACGCGCGACACCGAGTATCGTGATTAGATTAGACCAGATAAGGACTGCGTTTTCGTGATTTACTTCGCCAGAGATCGGTTTCTTGAAACGCGAACGGACGAGAGAAAACGATACCTATAACACCCGACACGTGTTCGGGATACGTTTTCACGGAGCTGTGTCAGTCTCGTCCGGAACGTTAATTTAATTGCACCCGTGTAACGGTGTCTTATTATACCGATCGCATTAAACGCGATCGACCTTTATAATTTAGGGAAAAAATCATGTTCCGTCGATGGAGTCGAGAGATTGTTCTTAAATATCAAATACAAACGATTAACTGTAAAGTAACAGATAATAACTAGACCGGGAGTGAGAAAATTCTTCGATAATAAGAACCACGTATGAACCGTTTATTTTAAAAGTGGCATAAGACACTTTGAAATCAACTGGCAGATTTGAATCAGAACGAAAATTTTTAATATGTATGCCAAGTTCAAAATAAACGACTTGCATAATTCTTTTCACTCATTTTTTAATGTTCAATAGCCACAGAAGGGGCCAGATAATCGAAACAAAAACAAATGTCCTCGAAGGTGAAAAATAAATTGTTGATCATGTGTACGTGGGGGAGGATGAGAAACTACGAGGGTGTCCATGGGTTATTTACTCAACACGGAGTTACAAGTGTTCGTCGTTTGTTAAGAATCGCCACGGTTGTTTATACAGATGATCCCGAGACAGACAACGTGAAACACGAGGACGCATCTTCCCGGGAAAATAAATTGATTCTCCTCCTTCATACTCCGAGATACCTCATGTTTCCATTAAACAATCCGATCTTATTCATCGCTCTAATTATAAAACTATTAAAAGATAATTTATTTCTGTATCGTGACGAACGAACGAATGTTATATAAGTTACAAATTATTTAAAAAAAAAAAATTAAAACAGCAGATTGTTATCTTCGACATTCTGCTCCAAAGATTAACCGTAAAACAAATTTGTATTTATGTAATACAAAATTATATTTTCGTGAATATGACGACGTCATGCGAGTGCAAACAATTATGTACTAGCCGATGACGCGACACCGGTGTCATATGAGTGTCAATTGATACTTTTCACACATGTAATATTATAAAATATTTTTCGCACACGTAGCAAAAACCATATTCTGTTAATTCTTGACAAAAACAACCGACGAAAGTTACTCTCGAAACTAGCCCGTTGTCCTAATGCTAATGAATTTCTTAAAAGTAAATTTCATAGTTTCTTAATAATTAGGTTCTACAAATACTGAAACCCTATGTAGTCTTTTCGAATAGCATTGCAGTGGCCAATTGTTTCTGCAACTAGGACCATCCCGTTTTATTTTAATCGCCTTGCACTATCAAGTTCTTGGAACTAATCACAGTGTTAATCCCCAAAATACTAATATAGTGTCAATCCACAACAGCGTGAATTAACACATTGGGAGATCCAATAATAAATGACGTTATTCATCGATCATAAATAAAAAAAAAAAAAGACGAAAAAATAGATATCCAGACCTTGGCTTTTAACCTCGTGATCACAGGTGCGTGCGTCATTCTTTGATGGTTTTAGTTGCCCCCGCGTAATTATCGGAAATCCATTACTTCCGAACGAGAAGTCTTCGACGAGGCCTGGGATCACGTTGTATATACCAATCGTGGTCTCGACTGCGTAATATATTTACTTTTCGCGATACCATTCTTCCACGTTCTAGTCCAAATTCCGACCGCCAACTCGCAACACATATCCCATGTTAATAGCTCCGCGATGAAAACCCGTGGAAATCCCTTGAACACAGCTAAACGCATTTTTTCCCGAGAAATTTACAGGATTCCTCGCGGCTCATAAATAACTTTCGTGGTATTAATCCCCCAGCCGCGAAACAATGTTGTCAGCGAAACAACTTACGCATTTTTCTCGAGGAATTTCGGAACTTTTCGGTATGTGGAAGCTTAATTTTCCAATTCTTCGCGTAAACTGAAGTTTTCCAATCCCCTGTAATTCCATTAAATGTTCGGTTTTCTATCGGTCTGACCATTTACTGTGTCACCATTAACCTTTAAAACGTTATTCCGAGTGAAGATGAACCATCGATAAGACCTAATGTCCGTCATTACAGAGTTCGTCGTGAACAATATACAACGAAACTGCTCCATTAGATGGAGATAAAATCCTAGACACGACATCACGTGGCCCTAGACGAAACGTTAAAACCGCCGTTATATTGACCTATTTGTCAATGGTGCGCGAGAACGAGCCGCTCGTTACATTTATGGGGACAATTATTAGGGGCGGAAGCTTGGGACTGTCCGTGTACAATTAACGCGGTTATGCGTATGCAGATGCGACGCGTCGATACGATACGTGGTGCACGGTTGATCATGTATTCATGGAAAAATTAATGGAACGAACCACTCGTGAATTAACATTGGAATAACTCTGTTCCTGTCCTTGTATTCTGCTTGGCGAACAAAGTGAAAACAGTGGCGTAAGGAAAGGGCCACCTACCACTTGGTATCGGGAATTACTAATATTTATATCAAATTAACATTCATTCTGACTTTTATTTCAGTACTTGAAATAAATTTACAAAGTAGTAGAAAACCATTCTCCTACACTAATGTTTCCCCTAGCGAAAGCAGAGTTTGCTCGTGAATTTTTCTGTTGGAAACAAACAAATCAATTTTCCAACTTTTAATACGGTAATCTGAATAGCTGATACTTTGTTTGCACAGAGTGAAAAAAAATGAAAAAAAAAATGAAAAAAAAAGAAGGTGAAAAAACAGAGTGAAGACGAAAATCGATTTACCAACCGCCATCGAACTCATCCGTAGGTTATATCGGCGCCGAACCGCGCGCAACAAACTGTATGTACGTGAAGCTCTGCACGTGAAACGACGCGAGCCCAGAAGGCGTTTATAGAACGATTGAATATTTATATAGCGTGGCAATGACTTCGGCCGAATGCTAAACGCGCCCTGAGTGCATCTGGTAAATACACCTGAGACCTACGGTCTGCCTCGAGAGTCGGGCGAAAATGATCTGAAAACACACCATTGAAACCTGTAACGAAAATAGTGTTTCCTATTTTTACCATCAAAGTCGAAGATACTGCACACTCGACCCTTCGACATGTAGCATTCTACCCAATTTACATGAACACTACATTTCAATCAATTACTATCATTTCCTCGTGAGATATACTATTTCTTAGTCCCCAAAACTGACAAAAATGTGGCCCAATAGTACTGACAAGATCAACTCAATTTGTATTTCGTTCGAATTAGTGATAGGCGATACAGTATCGATATTTCCGATATCGATAATTTCAATCCAAATATCGATATTTAATGTAACGATATATTCAAGTATCGATACCAATAATATCAATATTTTATTTCCGATATAGATGTGTATCGATATCAAATGTCGATACAATTCAAATCTATCGCCATTACCAGTTCGATTGTACATTTCGAACACTCGCAGAATTACTCGATCCCCCGGAGGCAACGTTCGTTGCAGCGCGGGCGGCACGAACCACACACACACATACGCGCGCACGGGTCTATATAATTTTCTATCGGGGCGCAGCAGCATCCGATGGTATTTCTACATCTATGTCGCGATTAAAGGGCACGGGGAAACAGGTATATGTCCCATTCATAAGGCACAGCGAGGGGAATGTAATAACCTTGATTACACCACGGAACCTGTCACATCGACGTGCAGCCACCGTCACAGATTCATTCACACGCGATCTCCAGCGGCGCGGCCTCGCCACTGTGAGAATTGGACAATAGTTCTCGACGTGTCGCGACGATAACATTCAGACGGAATGTAAACAACCGTGAGCTTGAGTCGGCAAGCACTACGACGTTTGACAAAGAAACTGAAACAGCGGGTCAAAACTGACCCGGTCATCGGCGTCGAAAGGTTAAGGGTGAAACGAAGCATTACCACGCGTGAAAGTATGCGCCCACTTTGAAGATACGGTTAAAGTAGACACTACGTGTGAGATACTGTCTAGCACTCTAACCTACTGACTCAACACCATGGCCACTTAGAAGTTGACACTCGAGCTCAGAGTTGACAGAAACGTAATCTTAAATACTTCCTACTTCTCGAGCACTTTCTTCCCGTTAAGCATTTCAGGATTGTAACCTATCCCCAGAAAGCCCCATACCGGTGTTCGTTAAGGCTCAACGGACAAATGTTTCGTTTTTTTTATGAAAATTTATGTATCGTCTTAATTACCGTTTTCATTAGTACACATAATGAGTGTACGTGTTAAATTAGAAAGGAATAAGTTATCCGAATTAACTGGTATATTGTTAGAATAGGCACTTATTCCGTGAATAGGATCGTTATAGAGGGAAATCTGTTTTCCGCCACGATTTGCCCAGCTCTCTAGGGCTAATGAGGCGGTTGTAATAAATGCATTTGGGACTCACCATTTTTATTCGGTGGGAACCGTATCCGAAACCCAGCAGACACTCCACGGTTACGCTACGGACGCACAGAAACACGTTACATCGGCTTTGACACACTTCTCGCGACTTATTGGTGGACCGGTCCAGTATAGTATAGTTTCCCGGCTCGAACGATTTCTTTAACTTTAACGATCGCGCTGGGACACTCGCGATTAGAGTTGCGTTCGTTGTCGCGGCAAGTTTAAGTGGATGACATCAGAGCACAACAAAACAATCGGGTCCGCCGGTTGACATTCACGAGCACCACCCTAAACACGTCCAACCACCCCGAGCACCCGAAAGAAACTGACTGTCGTGCCCGCCAGTCGCGCTGTCGCTGACTCGAACGATCCTTGCTTACGTGGAACGACACCAGGCGGCAACACGACTCGGTACCGCCAATCGGAGCGCCATCCCGCGAACGATCCTCCAATCAGGGCTCAGCGACGAACCTAAATTTTGTTCGGAATATCTATGGGGCGTCTGAGAATTTGGTGGCGTACATTTCTTTAATGAATATCGATTAATGAAAATATTACTCTGTAACGATATATAGACTAAATTTGATATACGACAATAAGTATTCGATGAATAGAGGTGAAAGCTCGTTTTTCTATTTCTTACTCTTTTTGGATCGTTTTATGCAGAGGATATTATCGATATTGTTTATGTATGTTGTAGACATTTTCTTGTGAACGATGCTTGATAAAAAGATATACTGGATTGTATATAGAATAAGACTTTTGCAATGAAGAATTATTTAATTAAGAAACTGTGGACGTTTAGAAAAATAAAATTATACAATTTGTTTACTTTGTTATGAATTCTGATGGGATTTATGTTACCCAGATAGCACATGACGCCTTAAAAACGCCTATTTTAGGTCTAAGGCGCCTTTAAGCCATCTTCCAGCCGTCATGTGCTAGAAGCGACAGACCATCCAAGTCAATTGTTCTTAAATAATATAAATTGGAGACTAAGAATGTAGCTCAACAGCGACCGGTCTCGAACAAACATTTCGTCTTTCGCTCATGTGATCGAGCGTAACACAATGCACAAGAAAAAAGACGAGAGTAAACGGCCAGCTCGATTCATCAAATAATTTATTGTGCCCCTCTGGGGCTGTGCGCTTATTTGTTGGATCCGAGGTCGTGGGACTTGATCACTCGTTCGATCACAGAGCTGCCCTTTATTCTCGATGTTGCCCTAATTCGAAATGAATGACCGAGCTAATACCTTAATTTCCGAAAATGCAGTTTAAATTGCAACTAGACTACGGACAGTTCAAGAAAAGAATTCAGATTCAAAGAAAAATTTAGTGAATTTTTACTAAAATAAAAACTTGAATTATGTATACAATTTTAACGAACATTAATGTTTCGGTATTCAATAATAGACACTTTGTACTGCAAAATGACTTTGACGAAAGAATGCAAAGAGCCGCTATGTGAATAGTAAAAACTATAAGTACCTGCAAATGTAAACAGCTGCATGACGACGTTCCAGTTTCACGTTTGCATGTGAAATTTCATGGATAACATGACTTGCAAATGGCATTCAATACACCTTTCCAGCCGTTACAAATGATTATTCTCAGGTCACAGAATTTCGATTAAATCTGAAAGAATACATGAACATGTTGTTGTAAGTGTCGCGATGTACAAATGCAGGGTGTCTAATGATTAAAAAAAGCGACACAACGAATATTACAAAGCAAGTTGATAAAACAATGAAAGATAAACTCTAATATGAGCAACTACTACAAAATTTCATATTTTCTACGTCTTTTTTTTTAAATAATTACTTTATTCACCGATTAACATTCGCGAAAACCAAATCCTTAATAAATCGTATTGGAGCATGAACTACATACTAATAAGATAAGAAAACACTCTACATGAAATTCTAACTTTCAAGTGAATTACTTTTTTTTGTTATAATGACATGTTGAATATATGAAAAATTGAACGTATACATTTGAAATCGACACAAAATTCGTTTAAATATATTAATACCTATTATGTATGATTATGTAATTACGGAATTCGTATGGCTGTTAAGACGGGCATGAACACTAGTTTAAGTGCTAAATCTGCATTAACATTATTATTTGAAAAATGGTGATAACATATGATATAATCATGTGCTTGCTAGATGTGAAAGTTATAAAAATCCTGTGAATATATCAATTTTGTCCTTGAGACATTACGGTAGAATGATGCAAGCTTCTAACCATACTCGCGAATATTCCATGCAATGCTTTTATGCCGCTAGAGCTCGTGGTTGACGTTGAAATCAGCAGCAGCGCAGTGTTGATCTGACATCAAACGAAATTGCTGGTTCGTAGTGAGAAAGGGACCTTTCTCGTGACAAATTTCTGTAGAATATTCCTTAGGCCGCTTCGAGCCTCTGCTACGACAGAATGCCGCGCGGTAAGCGCATCAATTTATTATACGCTTTTCGTTCGGGAAAAAAAATTCTCCCCTTGTCCCCACCACATTTACACGAGTCATATACGCAATTTCGTCACTTTTGACCTCGAACAACAGATTTGGAACAAATGAAATTTCGTTGCAGGTAGATATGTCAGTCACAAGGGACGAAATCGCCACTTTACCAGCCCCGAGGAGTTGGAGGAGCAACGACGCCAGGAGGAAAAAAAACTCCAATGGAGAGTCAGTATTTTTAGGTTAATCGACAGCACGACGGCTTAGATATTATTGTTAAGTACGTAAGGTCGAATTGTCCTTTGATGGTCAAGCCAGATTCCGTGCACCAATTGCTGTCATTTTGTTTGGAGCATGTTACTCCACGATGGAGCAAGTTTCACTTGCAAGACCAAGCATAAAAACTTGAAAAATTCTTAAAAAGCAATGGGTAGAAACTTAAGAGAGAGAGATGTTGTAATACTTTTGCGTTTGTTCCTTTGAAAATGTTGCATAAATGTTATATTACTTAGGGAATCGGTAAATAATGATTTATTTCTATAGATCTAAGGATATATGCTAAAAAGTAATAATGAAATTGTTCCTTACAGAAGAACAAAGGAGAAGAAACCTCTAGCGAAGAAGAGGAGGAAGAACCAAAAGCTTCTCCTGGTAGTGGCTCCGAAAGCGACAGTGATAGTGACTCGGAATCAGAATCTAAAGAGGTAATATTAACGATATGAATATTTCAGAAATGGAAAATCATGATTATTAATTTCCAATATTCACAGGGAAAAGCGAAAGGTGTAGAGAACTTAATCCAAGTTGAAAATCCAAATAGGGTACAAAAGAAAACAAAGAAGATATCACAGATAAATCAGTCCTTAGACTCTGATAAACCAGAGTTATCTCGAAGAGAACGGTAAAATTAATTAACAATATCCATGTTCAATAAATCTGTGTGTATTAGATCGTAATACAATTATCTTTTTATAGAGAACAGTTAGAAAAACAAAGGGCTTATGCCAATTACCAGAAATTACACGCGGCAGGTAAAACCGATGAAGCCCGTGCGGATTTAGCTCGATTAGCCATAATTAAACAACAACGGGAAGAGGCGGCGAAAAAACGGGAGCAAGAAAAGAAGCAGAAGGAACTAGCTCAGCAAAAGAAAACGGAACTGACGCAGAAAGCCCTTGGCAAAAAGTCCTAAAACTTCTGAATCTGAATCAATTACAAATATACTTTGCATCACTGCTACTATTACATTAATGTTACAAGCAGTTCAATTTCTACTTTAATATTGATACTTTTTGACTAAATCAATTCACGCGTTTACAGCATGCGTTTGATGAAGATGTCCTTGTTTGTATAAATACAATTATTATAGTAACTCAATTAAACCTACTGTTCATTTAATTCTTCTACCGAATCCGCCACTTTTCTTTACCATGTGTACAACCAAAAAGAATGAATAAAACAATATATATTCATACAAAAATGATACCCAGTGTTTCATTTTAATTGTATCCAATGTTTCATAAATATTCGAATAACAGTAAAGGCATTGTTTGCTAAATAACGAATTAATAATTCTTGTAAAGTGCAAAGGTTTCTTTGAACTACGTATAGCAGTGCATAGAGAGTAAAATGTATATATAATACGAGGAGACTCGCAGTCGAGCTGCTGCAGTCAAGCCGACAGGATGTTTTGGTCAGATGTCATTTACGTTGCGATACTTTTGTTCGGTGTATTTATCGGATCTTTGTATCAAAAAATCGAGGATGTATTCATGAAGCAGTGGACCTGTACGATCCTCGGTTTCATTTTGGCTATCATCGTTTCTGGAAGTCATGTAATTCATCCTGTAATCTGTACTGTGATTAACGCGATTCTCATAACCAAGCTCTCTCCAAAGTACGATATACTGATAATTTATACCACAGTTTATTACCACTACAGAATACGATTATTTCAGATATACCTGTTCATTTGTTTATTTTTATCTCATCCGTACAGTGCCGGAACATCATATATAAATATGTCCGCAATTCGTATGCAGTATACCTGCAGTGATCAGTGATTATAACAAATGCTACTCCGCGATTATAATCGGTTATCTGCATTTAATATTGATTTCTTTTACACATAAAAGTGCGCATTGCGACAGAATTATAATGGATAAATAACTAAAGTGACAAAAAAATATCTTCAGTTCTACATTCATAGAAATTTTATCTTGATGCATGGAATTAATGATATGTGTAATTCAATACCAATCAGCAATGTCAGCGTATTATTAGTGGCACTTGATTGCCTTAATATCAAAGTTCAAATGGTTTCTCAATGTAGACATTGATTAATTCAGTCTATCATTTCTGTGTGAGTGTTAACTTCAATTATATACAATGTACAAACAGACAGATAAGCTATCAAGATTGATCTCCCAAAAATTCCATATAATTCTGACTTGAACACCCAGAAATATTATAAGAGATGTTTCTAAAATAACTTACTGAATTATATTTTGTTCTTTAAACAAGAATATAACTGGATTTTCAAATTATTGTATATTTACAGAAAATGTCATCTAGCCAGCTTCTTTTTCTCATTCTTCTATCTGATCTTCCTATTCCGACTAGGGGAATATATTGGTCTCCCAGAGTCACCCTCTCACACAAACCTTGTGCTGATGATATTAACGCTAAAATTATCTGGATTAGCGTTTGAAGTAAATGCAGCCAGTACCTCGACACCTGAAGATCCAGAAGGAGTAAACTCTGAAGCAATAAGAAATGTAGGAATTTTGGACGTTTTTCATTATGGATTTAGTTACATGGGGATCTTGACCGGTAAGTTTACTGCACCAATGATCAAATTGTTCTACTGTATAAAATGCGACATTTCTTTCCACAGGCCCCTATTATCGTTATAGAACATATTGGGATCATTTGCATAGACCATTTTCTAAGTATGTGGATCCAAGGCCTCTTACGTACTACAAGCTCAAACAAACTGCATGTTTCGTTGTGTTATATCTTGTGATGAATGAATTATACCCTACCAGAGTAATATCGGCACCCTTTTAGTGTCTAACATGAACAAAGCTGTTAAGTTTAAGATGTTTCTTTTTAAATTTCAGTACGTCGCTACAGATGAGTTCGCAGAACGGGCGTTTCTATACAAATACTTTTACATGTACCCCACGTTTCTTTGTTTTAAATTAAGGATGTACATTGGCATGGCTTTGGCCGAATGTGCTTGCCAGATGGCTGGACTTGGAGCATATCCTGTGAAGTGCAATCCTGTAATAGGTCTAGGACCTCGCGATTATAAGAGCATTCAAACCATGTAACGATTTACTTAACTTTTTGCTATCTTACCATCGAAAGAAAAACTAAATAATCGAATCCCGTAGGTCTGCTTCACCTGAAAAATTGAAGGATGAAGAATACAACTTCGAGACTGTATACAACATGAATGTCTGGAAGTTAGAGAAGTGTCACTCAACAAGAACGGCTATGAGATCATGGAATGCTTGTATTCAATATTGGATGGGCGTTTACGTGTACAAAAGATTTCCGTACAAAAATTTACGAACTCTGGCCACGTTCACGCTCTCAGCTGTGTGGCACGGTTGGCAAGCCGGTTACTACCTCTGCATTTGTCAGATTCCTTTGTTTTTAATGAGCGAGGATATAGGAATGAAATTTTATAACCAAAGCAAGGAAAATAGTTTGGTATGTACTATCTCATCCCCAGATTAATTTTTTTTTTGAACGATGAATCTAAATTGTAGCACCCATATGTGGAATAACTTTGTGGCCAAAGTGTTGATATTCTTGATTATAGTTTTAATTTCGCCACTTTATTATTTCTTTTAGGCCCGGAGGGGATGGCAGTTAATCTTATGGTATGAGAAAACAACCTGCATGGCATATTTAGGAGTACCATTCCTATTGCTAGGGATGCAAGAGTCAATACAATATTACAAAAGCATATACTGTGCAGGGCATATTGTAGCAATCGTATTGTACGTAATCTTCCGCTGCTTGAAACCCTATATTTTAAAAACCCATATACAGTAAGGACAAGGACGGTTAGTCTGCTACGCTAGTATATGAAATATTTAAAAGCTGCATGTACGTATTTTCCAAGTAAATTGAGTCAGTCTTCTGTCTAAGATAGCTTATATAGCAATAGCTTCCTTTTAAGTAAACTAAATTTTTACAAATTATAGTAGCATATTATTATTGGCATTAAGCTAATAATGTATAATTAAATTAAGATATGTATGTATAACATACACTGTATACTATGATTGAGCTAGTCAGTCAGTGTATGATAATGAGAAAAGAGCTATTCTGACTTGTTACCTCCCATAGATGCTATTTACAAAAGAACATAAAAAGAAAAGAAAATGCTCTCGGATATTAAGAGGGTTTCTATTCTTCCATTTGTTATGATAAGTCAGAAATAATAAAAAATTCCATTTGTTTAATACGGTTATCTTTATTTACTTTACCCTCCACGAGTCTACAATGCTTCGTTCCTCACCTTGAAGAAAGAAAATTAAATAATCTGTATATTCCAATACCTCCTTACCTCTAACAAATACTTACTTCAGTAACGTACGTTTGCACCTGAAAAAAAATACACAGGAAAAGCGAAAGGATTCCAACCCCCACTCTCAACTTTCCCCAATTACTACTAATGTGGCGGCAAGTGTTTCAAGCGATGATCACAAAATTTGGATCTTTATAGACTCTACATACTTTCCCAAGGAATCTCAAACAGACACGACATTGTATCTCAAGAAATACTAAAATTAACAGAAACAACTGCAAAAACCAATCAAATAACCGCGAAAGGACCCGACTTTATACGTAAAATAAAAAAACCTTGTGTTTCGGGATGGTAAACTCAAGAAGGTATTCTCATTCGAAGGAGAATCAAAATATAATAAAAACACATTTAGGATTTACTCACGGTAACCCCTACACTCCCAGCTGCTAAGGGTTGAAATCTCAATACCTCCCCGTTTTTATATCTTTTCCGAAGGAATTTCAAAAGAGAACTCCTCTCCTTTTTTTTTGTAACTGTGAAAACACCCTCTCAAGTAATTACCAAAGGATATAAGTCCACTCGTACAACTTACAAATTGAACCTACGATCTGAGAAGAAAGTACGTTCTCTCTAATCAACACCCGCTGCTGGAAAGTGATATATCGTCAAGAAACACGCGGAGTAACTGGCAGACGTAACACAGTTGAAATGTGAGTCGTTGCTCGCGAGGTCTGGTGATGCTCACGTGCTACCTGCAAACCCCGGACGACGGCCGTAACCAGCAACCGCGATGGCCTTTGGTTGTGCCCCTCTGCTTATTTTCTCAGCGCTCGACCGTACCCTCTGCGATTTTCTGCACGCCGACCCCCCAGAGAGACAGCTTTTTCGCTCACACACTTTCTCTCTTTTTCTCGCCCTGATCTCGACTCGCGAACCTGCTTTCACCAGACCACCAACCGCTCGCTACTGCAAACTGCTTACAGCCCTGCTACTCTCGGCTTACTGCTTACTCTCAGCTACCCCATCATCGGCTACACTCGCCACGCCACTCCTTTCCACCGCCTGTGGCACCATAAAATTACAACTTAGTTACAACGAATAAACGTGTTATATCCGTGTGTGAGGATTTTTAATATCTTTTTTTCTTTTTTTTTTTTGTTTGTTGGAAGGGCATTGACGATCAATCGGTTCTACATTAATAAGAATAATGCCAATAACTAAATTATACTGTCGATCTACACGAACCCAAGACTTTTAATTCAATGACAAACTGTTTTTTGCATTCACAACATTCATTGTGAATTTTATATAACCCTTCTTCTCATTAACGGGACCGTTTCGACATGCAAAATTACGTCAAAAATATCTGGAAAAAATGAGATGAGAGCTGATTTGTATTTATATACTTTACACAATGTCGAAGTATCAACTGACTCCTTCTCGAGTCTCAAATAATCTCAACTGACATGCGAACCCAGTTTCAGCCAATGGAGTTGAAGGTAACACAAAGTGATTTATCATCTTTCTGGCTATACACTGCCTACAGTTACGCTTAGCTTTTAATCACTGTCTATAACTATGCGAATAGTTCTGTCTTCCGCATTTTATTACACTTTATTATAAATGGCAAACTTACATAAATAAACCTGTATACTATTACAGAAACGCAGAACTTATTTCTAAAAATCATATGTATCAGGACTTTACTTTTCTTTCTTTGTTTTTGTTTGGCTAATTGAAGTAAATAGAAGTTCAGCCGTAAATGATAGAGAAATTAGGGAATCGTTTAAGATTTCGGGGATTCAATTTAAAATTTGTACAGAAATCGGACTCAGACGACCATATACGTTCTACATTACCTGCTAATTACCATTACTCATCAACACACGTGTAATTCCAGGAATATCTAAATCCACTTTGCTCGGTTCGAACAATTTCATACTTATATGAGAGAACGTTTCTCGCAATGGACATATTTTATCGAAATAGACGTTTTTCCTGCAGTTACTTATATACGCCGGCACGGCTTAAAATAGTTGCAACAAGAATCAAGAAAATTGAAGAAACGAAACCAAACTTCTGTCATCTTATAACTCACTTACGTCGACAAGTAACTAGAAGTTGTGCACACTATACTTTAATGTAAAATAAGATACGTTGTACGCTTGATCTAACAACAATTTCTCCATTTATTTATTCACAAAGTGCAAACTCAAATGTTCCGCCTTCTCTAGATTCAAAGTTTGAAAATTCATAATTGCTCCTTAGAGGCAGACTCAAACATCAAGTATATAGAGTGCTAGTGCACAATCCTAAAACTCTTATTAAGGACACAATGAAACGCGAATTCAGTGGTTAGAATACAAGCTGCTTCAGTTGTCACAGCAGCCAAATTATACGTAGAAAAGAAAAAGGAATACATATATTTCTCTCTGATCAAAATTAAGTGCATGACAGTGTCACTTAACGAAGTAAGAATAATTACGAGAAAAAAAAACTTTGCAAACGAGAGTCTTCGTGAGTCCTTTAAACTCACTGTCTAGGTACATTACATTAAAATTAGTTTTGGGTTCTGTTTCGAACCCAAACAAGTGCGTCGTCATAATTAATATGTAAGTGATAGAAGAAATGTGAACGTGCGACAGTGTTGCTCTAGGTATAGAGGGTAATAGAATACCTTTTAGTTCTCAAGAAATGATTATTCTGCACTCGCGGCACGTGCATCTGTTCACAGTCGTACTCGCTTATGGTTCATTAACTTCAGTCCCTGTAAAAAAAAAAGAATGGTTCATAATAAAATATATATATATAAAACTCGAATTAAATATATAACTCAATTATCCGTACAATACACACCTTACAGTTCTCACTATTGAGGTTTTCGGGTGTAAGCCGTGTCCTTGTAGAATTGTTTTCCCAATGTTTCGCAAGCATTGGGAAAACGATTCCACAAGTACACGGCTTACACCTGAAAGCTTCAACAGTGAGAACTATATGATGACTGGCAGTGAAAGCCTCAAATCTCCAATACACACCTTGATTTAGAACGACTGTCCTTTTGTCTGTCAGGAGACTTGCTCCTCGAACGAGACTTTCCACGAGAGCTCTTGCTATCGGAACGTGAGCGGCTGCGACTACGACTGTAAGATCGCCTTCGGTCTCTATCACGGCTCCTGGATCTGCTGCGTGACCTGGAACGAGAGCGTCTGCGATCCCTGCTTCTGCTGCGTGACCTGAAAGCAAGAAAGTCGATTAATGTATTACTTCCAAAGAATTTTTGCTTGGTAGATCTTGGTTTTGTGACTATAAAAGGTACCTCTAACAAGGTCATGTAACACATTAAGAGATTGATGACCCAGCATGAGTCATACCATCATGACCTATTTACCCCGATGACTCACCATATGGGTCACTCAGAAATGTAAGTAATCATAAATATTGTCGATTTTTGGGGGGATAGTTTTGTAATAATACGTCGATCTCGAATGTGTCCATAGAGTTTCAAAAGAAAATACCATATACTTGTTCTTCCAACGATATAGTTCGTATACACGATATTTTAATGATACTTACCTCGCTCGTCGACGGCTGGCACGGCTTCGATGTGGAGAAGTTGGTCGTCCATATCGTGCCATCTGAACTCGAAGTTCCCTACCATCTAACAATCTTCCGTCCATTGCGTCCAATGCATCTTCTGCGTCTCGTTTATCATAGAATCTAAAAATTTACAAAAAAGAAACCAGAATTCAATACCTGAGTTAACTACGAATAAATGACGATATATGAAACCAATTGATGCAACATTTGCTAGTGTCCTATACAGTTATTCAAACAACGTGATGACGTCACAAGTTTAAGCATTGTTTTTTGAGCAGATTAAGCGATAAGTAGAAAACTAAGAAGGAACATATGATCGTTGACTTACCTGACGAATGCAAACCCACGGCTTTCTCGCGTGAAACGATCTCTGGGTATGTAAATGTCGCCGACCTCGCCACATCTTTCGAACACGCGTCTCAGATCCTCCGGCGTCGTTCTGTAGGTGAGATTGTCCACCTTCAAGGACACCATCCCATCGATTCGGGGCGGTGGCCTACCGTAACTCATTCTAACGAATATCTCAGACTCCCGTTTAGATTGAAAACGAGCACGCGAACCAGAAAATTCAGTTTCAGACTAAGCGGCACACGTCCACAAACGTCAAAGACAAAATGGCGAGTGGCGGAAGAACGCAGCTACGCGCATCCGGAGGGAAATGATGCAACGAAATTCCCGACTACGCGAGTCAAATTTCCTTTCGTACGAAACGTTTCACTCCGTTATCGAAATAAATCATTCTTTCCACTTATATATTTGAACAATACAGAGCAGATAACTGAATACCTATTTATCGATTAATTTCTTTCAATTAATGAGACGACAAAAAACATCGAACAACGTCAACGTTCTTCTTTTCTTAAATACAATAAAATTTCACGTAAATGGTCACACATTGCTAAAATTGCTTTATAGATTTTAAAAGAAATTTTTTAAATCTATTTATATATTTTGCAAAAGGATATTTAGTTTTTCTTTTCTACGATTATTAACGTTTCGTATGAGACACGAAATGACTCGTGTAGTTCACTTCCGGTTGGTTTCGAATTTCAATTTCTAAAATATGTCGACGAAAGAGTAATCATACTACCGTTCTTCCGTTTATCGATCAAAGCCGACAAAAATGTGCAAATTGACTAACACCATTTTGCTAATTAAATTACGTTACGCAAAACAAAATATAATGTTTCAAGGTGTATACAATTCCTCTCAATGAATCATGCAGTTACAGGAAGTTTCCACAAGCTGTGATCTTATCGAAATATCCTCGTGACGAAAATATGACACCCATCAATCAAACACAGAGTTAATTTTTTTTATCTCTCGATCGTTAACCGTGGTAACAACACGAAGTTATCAAGAGGCGTTGCATCTCCCATACAAACAAAGTCACAATCCTCTATTTTCCGTTTCCGAAATACGTTTTATATAAAAAATTAAATTTATACAATGCTCTTGTCGTTAAATGGTATAGTAAAACATCGATCGCAACGAATCGTTAACGCATTACTTTTTTATTTAAGTTTCAATGAAGCTGCATCTGTGGTATCACAACAATGCCCTTGCAATAAGATGCCCCCCAAGAAAAAAAAAAAAATAATCTGTCAACATTGCCTTAAAAATTCTCGGAAACATCCGATACATGTCACAGCTTCGATCCGTTTCTTTTTTTTTTTTTTTCGTTCTCCGTTGTACGCGTTGTGTAAGCCAAGAAAAAGAAAAACAAAGAAAAAAAAAACGAATCGGTGCCAACCGTGAGAAAGGGCAAACGCAATTGTTGTACATTTTGGTCCTTTGCCCGCCCGATCGCCTGTGTCACTGTTGTGTGTCGATGTTCGTTCGCGGGACGAGTACATCGTTAATCATTGTTTTTTTTATTTCTTTCGACGGACAAGAAAAAGAAAGTAGAAATCGTAAAACAATCTAATTCGTCCCGCGGTGTCTGCGTCGCGAAAGAAATGAATCGAAGGCAAACGACGCCAACGACACATACACACACAATTTCTGCTCAACGTTCGTTTTGACTTAGGCGGTAGGCGTAGAAAAGTAGAGACACGTCGAGTGCTCGCGATTCTCTCTTTTTTTCCCCCATACAATTCCATTTTTTCTTCGTGCAACTTTCCTTCTCGATCAGACTCGGCGCGAACCATCGTCTCCGAATATCGAAGAGAAAAGGGTGTCGCCTCCGAGACAAAGATGGACAGAGAACTCGACGGAATAAAACTACACGAGTGTACCATCATATATCTCGAGTTTTCTTCGATTTTTTAACGATCATTCGAAACATTCTCACGTTTATTGTTCAAAGAGCAATGGCTGTGTATTTTCTCTCCAAATACAGTACATCCGCCCGTCTCTGCCTCGATATAATTTCCAACAAATCACATAGCAGCCCAATAAATAGCTTAAACTGTCTAACAGGGTTTCCGCTTATCGTTACAATATATAAAAAAAAAAAAAAAAGAGACTCGGAATTTAGTCTAAAGTAAGGAAGATAGAGAGTCAAAAGGTAGAGATTCGTGTATAAGAAACGAAAAAGGGTCAGGAAAGACAGACAAAGAGAGAGACATGATAAAAGATTGAAGTAAAATTTCATGGTTTCAAGTTAGACCCGTGTAACGTAGGTACACACCAATGTCATGGAGAGGTTCCTCATACTGTGCTTCGGTATTTATAAATTAAAAATGTCCCAACGATTCCGCGTGTGGGACTCACGGACTCGTCACGATTGCGTTATTTAAAATATACATACAATATGTATGTACGTACACAGGATGTCCCACCTAACGGGAGCACTGTTAGTATCTCACTTGTTTTTTCATTTGCAGAAAATGAATTTTAATAAATGCTCAAAGTGATGTCCATCAACTCCGATACATTTTTGCACTAATCCCTCTATTGTGGTTACTTTATTATTTAAATCTACTCTCATACTTTTGTGGATTTTCCTTATTTAAGGTCACACAATTGTAGGTCACTGGATTGGTCTTCGTCTGAACCTTAAAGTTTAAAAAAATTGGTTTGTCTATCATAGTATTTGCTTCTTCTAACCAAACAATACTTTCCCTCACACTTTTTTGTATCCTCGAAAACAAGTGAGATATTGAAGGCGCTCACGTTAGGTGGGACACCCTGTATACAAAGCTGTCCTGTTATTCGAGATGCAACGAATTTTTAAAAACCAATTCCTCATTCACGAACAAGAGGAATCGTTCAAGATTTAACAACTTGAAACATTATTTATTAACGGTACTTTCTTAACTCGTCTATTTCCTTATTAACATTTTTACTCTCCTGTATCCGTCCAGTGAATTATTTATACTTCCGGATTGCGCACGAATCACAGGGCAGCCTGTACAAAAATACAGGGTGAACTGAACTCAGCAGGTCGATCGTACGGGGCAAACATCATCATCATCATTATCGTTCATGACGGAGAAAGAAGTCTGACGTATCTGAATACTTGAGAACCGAGCTTGGACGACGCGACGTCTGTCAGACGAAAGTCCTTTGGACGTCGCCCCGTCCACGCCGCCGCCTTACACTATTTACTATTCAACAATTCAAAATACTTATAATGATACACACAACCTTGAATAATCTCAACAGCTGCTGGCCTTAGCCCGAACTAACTTACACAATATCGTAGATCGTGGATACAAAAGTAGTTTTTTTTTCTTCCTTTTTTCTCCGCTATTGCTAAAACGACGCGCGCGTTACGCATATCTCATTTTCCCGTTGTTTATCGTTTCTAACATGCCGTCTGTGTTCAGTTTGTGTTCTTTCAAGTCCAGCTTTTTGCAGCCAATCAAAGCTCTCTCCGCAAAACGCTCTACGAACACGATCGTTACAATCATCGCTTTATCTCACCGTAACTCCTCCCCTTTGTCGCTTCTCCTTTCGCTTTACTGACACCCGTACTGTTTTTTTTTTTTGCGTTTTCCTTTTTTACTTTTCGTTCCCCGTTCGCATACATCGCGCATTCTCATTGTTGTATACAAAATATTGTAATCAGGGCACTCATAATTCATCATCAGTCGCACGCGTTTCTTCGTTTTCTTATACGTTCTGTTTCCCTTTTTTTTTTTTCTACAGTGCATCGCTGAGAACGGAATGGTCCGATCGTAAAACGCAATTTTCGTTTTTCCTCCCGATGGGAGAATTCCAAAACGAAGAAAAACCAAAAAAAAAAAGAAAACTTCTCGTTTTTATCCGCACGGGCCTCTCGCCTTACGATATACAACCATCCCGTCTCGCGTGTCCATTTACTCATTATTAATATTACACTCGATATAAAAATAATACTCAGTCGATTAGTACAGATTTAATACTCGGCGTATGGGACCGGGGAAGGGGTTTTGGCGGTCCAAAGTCGCGTGATTCACACAACGATTTACAATTATCGTTTGCGATTGGTTAACACTTTTCTCGGTTACGTACACCTTTCGTTTACCTATGTAATTAATTAAGTTTACATACAATTGTGACTTAGGAGTTCGACCACAGGTGTGCCTATGGTCAGAACACGTCTCTACGGTCATGCAGACGGACGGAACAGAAGCTGCGAGTTCGGCCCGCGTTGAAATCACCGACCGTTCTCCTCGAATTTCGGTTTCATTAAAGCTTCCAATGTACCAATAAAATGGAAAGTTTAACAGGGGTAAAGACAATAACGAGACAGCTGTAAATTACAGGACGTATCGTTATTGTTTTTACATCATGCGTACTAGTCAGCAATCCACTATTCCTTTCAATGAAGTGACACACCACTTCAAATGAAAAAATTCAAATAGCTTCTTGGACGATTACGGCGAACATTATTAACTAGGTATAAGCGTTAAATTTCTGTACAAGTGAATATTCAATTTCCCCAGAGAAATAATCGATCGCTCGCTAGTACATTTATCGTGTACACACTGTTTTTCTCGAGATGAAACGTGGCGTAGGTCAGTGGAGCACGCCAATAGATGAATAAATGTATCGCTGATGATGCATCGGCCAGACACATACGTCAACGAGGATGCATATCAATGAACACCATTCAACGTCGCGCTGTCAATGAAACGAATATACATATGAACGAGAAAACGTCGGTGATCTCAGCGCAGCCCCGATTGACCCCTACTCAAACACCGAGCAGGGTTGTGATGTGTCAACGACCCTCCTTTTTTTTTTTCATTGTCACCCGAAAACCCCTTCCTCTCTGTCGTATACAATTATGCATCGTTTTTTTTTTTCTCACATTTTCTTCTGGAGGCTTTCGTATACATTTGTTCGTGAGCGCCGTTCGTAATATTCTCGTCGAGATGCCTCGTGGTTCAAGAAAGAAAAAAACACTAGACATCAGTCATCAAAAAGGCGTGGCTACGAGGCATCCACGTGTCGATTCGAGACTGTCTTCGATCCTCAGTTTCACCCACGCTTCTTCATCGTAATATTCTGCCGGTGATGATGAAAGTGGCAATGAAATATTCAGTAAAAATCATATTATTGTAACGTAAATCGATGTAACACCAAATAAGTGATACGTACAATTTTTTTTTCTCGATTTTTCATTTAGAATTTAGACCATTTTCATAATCACCGCATGTATCTTTCTCGACGCAACTGATACACTGCGAATGTTTATGCAAATATACATTTCTACGGGCGAATTCGCACAGAAACGGGAAATTCAAAAATCGAAAATGAAATATTCGTTGATCTCAAAACATTCTATCGTGATCTCGATTTCGCACGATCTTTTATTACTATAAATGCATTAAATCCGCAGTCTGGTCTCGTTAACATTTGCGATTTGATTTTCGCGAGGGAAAATCGAAGTTCACGAAAGAAGGGAAGAATCGCGTGTCACCTTGTTTTATCAATGGATCGTTCCATCGATTAATTTTCGCAAGAATCGGACAGTCGTTCCGATTTAGAAGAAAATCGACAAAGATGAAGGGGTGAAGTCGAGGGGAGGCTTCAAGGCAGACTGATCGGATAAACGATTTCACGCGTGGTTCGCTGCTGAATACACGCATATTCTTATTACAATTATTATTATTACTTGAACATCATTCAACGAAAATTTCCAGGCGAAGGCACCTAAAGCATCGACCGTACACAATTTTCGTCCGCAAAAAAAAAAAAAAATACACGTAATATATGTATATATACCGAGTGTCCTCGCAGAGAAAGGAGGGAATGACCATACGCGCGCGCAGTGCCTGATCGTACGAACTAATGAACTCGTTTACAAAAGAAAAAAAAAAAGAGAGAAAAGAGAGAAAAGGGGGGAGGCGGCAGGGAAGAATGAAACCTCGTATATAAAGTACAATATGTAGAAACAATAAATTAAGCCAGTCGTTGCCAAATGTCTTACGCAAACGTCGGTGCAAAAAACAGTGAATACAATAAATTACAGTTTAAATAATATTCAGGGAGGGTCGCTTATGTAAAAATAGACGTACAAAAACATGGACAATAGGGGGAAGGGGGGTCGAGTGGGACGGAGGAAAGAGGGACAAGGAGGAAGGGATCGAGGGTTGGGGTAGGAAGATAACTAAATAATTTAATAATTAAGTAAAGACAAAAATATCGCCGTCGGGGGATTCATTTAAGTAGTGGTTGGTTAAAACTCCTTATCAGCTAAAGTCAAACGCGTAGAATACTGATACATAAAAAACTCTATAAGAAGCCTCAGCTTATTTTTTTTTCTTTACCATTGTTGAAGAAAAAAAAAGAGAAAAGAAAAAAAACACGACGAACCGTTCTTTCGTCTGGCGGTCTCTGCAACTAACTCTTTAATTAATTTTTTTTTAAAAAAAGGATCATATCATTATCGTAAAACCTTTTACTTCAATTGATGCTCGATAAAGTGTATGTATATATATATATATAATATATATAATATATAATAGCAATACTCGATTTCTCATGTTCTAATAATTATAAAAAATATCTTCTAGTTTCTTCAGAATTAGTAGAGAGCTCAAACCTATATTCTACTTACGCGCCTACGTTGGTAATAATAATGATAAAAAATATATATAAGAATAATAATAATAATAATAATAATAATAATAATAATAATAATGTTTTTCGTGTTGTTTAACAAGCTACCGCGAGCCGACAAAAAAAAATACAACTGAAAGAGAAAAAAAAATGCCTAACAAAGTAACTGTCCATTTTTCTTTATGGTTGTCGTCTATCGATGTCATTTTGCATAAATAAGTTCGTTCTCTTCGCGTATGGTACACTTGTAAAATGAGTATGCTACACAAAAGTGTTTCTGCCGATGAAATTGAAAACTGGCGGTCCTAGGGGCCCGACAAAGGTGCCCCAACGTACTTTAATAATCGTTTACTTTCGTTTTCGTTTCCCTACTAAAGGAGATGTTAAGCCTAAAAGCGTTACGTATCTTTTAAATAAGTATCACGTTCCAAACAGAACAATTTTTCCCCGCCAATATTTCCAGATCAGAACAGTCTGTGAAACGTTTCGTTGTAATTTCGATAAATTATCCAATTTGTAACAATAAACAGTATGCACGATGCTTAAAGAAGTACCGAAAACAAAGAAGAAAATCGATAAGCTGAGGATTGGTGCAATATAATGTTTGTTATAGGGGGAATGGAACCAATACTTCATAGTGTTCTAAATAAATTGAAAAAAGAAATTTATTAAAGGAATCAGTTATGTAATTAGTGGAGATAACAGCATAATTATGATTAAATCAGAATTAAATCATTGCACCAATCCACACCTTACTTATATTCCTATTTTTTTGAACCGATTCAATGGTGAAAACAAGGAAGATACAATGTCCACGGTTTCTTCAGGACTTATTTAAAAGATATGTCACTCCTGAACCTATTTGTGAAACAGGAAATATACTGAGTACGCACTAAATGGAAGGATCATTTCGACGTATGAGAGAGAAAGCTTAGCAATCTGTCATTCGGATCGCACTAGTGAGAAACCTCATCATCGCTTATGTCTCTTCCTCCAATACTCGGGTAGTCAGTAACGAGATACCACGTTCACAGTGCCATTCTTATAAAATCAACGTCATTCAAAATCCATTATGTATATTTACTAGACCGCTAATGATTATGCAAGACATAATACAATAACAATTTTCACGCGCAACTTTGCCATTTTATTTTTCTTTTCTTCTCCTAATCATATAAAACCCTTAACAGAGGAAAGAAGTTCTATTCAGTTCACGTTTCTGTCAATTAGTCTATAAAAAAAAAGTGAATCTGCATAAACATTCACAGTCTATATATTATATGTAATTAATTGTTAAATAAATAGATATATACTATTTTCATGAAATATTGATCACACAAACCAATTATTCACTTTCATATTTACAATTGTTCTGGCAGAGAGAAAAGAAACAGCACTGATTAGTGGTACCATTGGTACTTGTATATTAATATAGAATAGTGTACTTGTATACATATATATATATATATACATAATGTATATTATATACATATATATACCTATACAAGTGTGTTCATAAGGCTCCTTGGATAACGACTAAAAACTAAGTTGCTCCACGGGTTACTGTAAGCGAATTTGAAAGCTCTGCGAAGCAGCAGCAGCCCTGCCAAGAGATATCACTGATGAGAAAACTAAGAAATGGGTGGAGGGAAAAGGAGAGAAAATGAGGGAGAAAGTGTATAAATGTTGTGCATGACGTCGTGAAAGAGAAGGATAAAACGTTAATTTTTATCGTATGCCCTTAACTATACTCTATGTTACACAGACTAAATCTATTTTTGGCAAAGTTGTTTAGGTATACAATGTTAGATATTACGATACATGAGTAGATGCACTGGCCATCGTATTATGTGCTATTTAGCTTCCCTTAATACCTGTTTATTAACACATGATCTGTACAATCTGAAGAAAAAGTAGATCAGTGATAGCCCTTAGAGAAATAAAATTAGTGTGATAGGTTAACCCCCTGTCTGGCGGATGCAGGACCATTTTGAACCAACTGCAACCGTCTCTGTTCCTTCCTTGTTCAAAAGTTAAACGACTTCTCGCTCAACAGAGATTTATATGGAGACACTAAGGATGTTAATAGTATCTTCTATGATAGAAGAGTAACAAAGCTACACAATGTTTGCGTTAAAGTAATGACACTATTTTTACACTCAACACAAAAGAGATTTGTATGAACACAATATAACTACTTTGTGTGTTAATTGTAACCATGTATAATAAATACTGTACTTGTAATTTGGCAATTCACACCCGCATATAATATAAGTTTTACTATGGATTAAAATGACCATCCACCCTTAGAGGGTTAATCAACAAGAGGAAGAAAAATCACAGTTTTACCCTATACAGTTTTTGTTTTCCACAAATATATAAAGGAAAAAAAAAAAGAATTAAGCAACGAATTTAAAAAAGAAATTACTGAAAGTCGGTGAATGCCTGCAGCAACCGTGGAGCAATAAAATTTGTTACTTTTAACGTCCGGCATATAAATGAATGTAATCTAAGTATTACTTCCTGAAGTTCTTGTATGTTTGTTAATTGTCGTCGAGAGAGAGCATGTAAACGAGTATTGTGTGACGACAATCTATCCTACGTACCATCGCGTTTCTTATTGCTTTCGGAGTCTTATCTTACATGGTGGTGCGCTGTTTCGTGTTATTAAGTACAAATTATTCGACGACTGTGTCTCAACAATCAAGAAACCTTCCGAGACGTTAGAGGGTAGCAAAGGGTAGATAATACGTAAAAGGTAGAAAAAAAAAACAGTATTAAATGTGTTTACACCGGCAGTCTCGTGCTCACGTAAAAAAAAGTACCTAACATCGTCTAAATTAAGATCTTGTTTATCTTGTAAGTAAATATTATCTGCACTTACTGCGCAAGATAAGAGCTAACAGGGTAGAGGGAAGAGATAAATCGCTGAAAGGCCACTAGAGTATGATGATACTGGCATAAACGTAATTTGGCAAAGCGCAAATTACCGAGTACGTATCGGACAATTATACGATAAACATTCGTCGCATCGTGCAACCGTTTTTTCTTCTTCTCTGTTTCATTAAACTTCCACCTAACCGAGAAACATCCCTTACTTAAAGCCGATTTAAAAAATACATCATTTTCATTTTCTCTCGCTTAACTAGGTAAGTTCAGCTGGGTCGTTTCTTTAACTTAATATTATGCAAGACAACGAGAGTATTATGATTGTTACGTCACTGACAGCTAAAAGCCCGTGGAACAAAACGGTGAAATTTCGTTCACTAATTATTCAGTGACAAATCCTCTTCTTCTTTCATCAACATCATCGTTACTTCGAAGCATTCCCGAACAGTAAATCTAGCACCGTTCTTAGACACTTTCACTGGTGACTGACATTTCTTACACGTCACTAAGAAAACAGACAACGACCACCATTACAAATTCTTGTTCGACGCGAGAATACGTTCGACACCGAAAGAACAATTTGCGCGTGTATGTACAACGTTCGCCCGTCGCTCTCTAGCTGCAAGCGTACAAAATTTTGTATAAAAATATTCTTCGTATTATTCGTGTATATATATGTACATATTTCGAATAACCCACGTAATTAATACTGCGTATTTAATATCATCGTTCCTTCGTGCGCTCTGCACCACGGGCTTGGTAGCTCGCGGGAAATAGACCCTCAGAATATTCTCTGCCACCCTCGATCCACGACACCACGGATACAGAGAGAATAGAGAGAAAAAGAGAGCTCAAAAAGGAGGGAATCCATGAACGTGAACCGGTGGCAGAATTCATAAAGAGAACAATCTCGTCTTCTACACCCTGTGTATCACTGGACAGACTATTCTGTCTAGAGATTCTTTGTTATACATATTTATATATATATATATATATATACCTAGCGAAGTCATTTTGAAGCTGGCCAAAGTGTGTTTCAGTGTGTCTCTTCAGATAACGACGTTGCAACGAGGTTCAACGGTACATCCGAGACATTTTCTTCATCTCCATCTTCTATTTCTTCTGCTTCCCCAGATAAATGACATTGTTCTTGACCCTCTGCTTTCACGTGCTGTTATAAAAATTATGTTAGTTCTGGGATTTACAAATCACAACGATTTGTTAAAATGAACTGTCAATACGACAGGCCACTCAAGATCACTATCCCCAGTGACGAACTATGGGTAGACTGAACACAATTTACTTAAATTATGTTTACCAAGAATTTCTTTATACTTACATGCATCATGTAACTAGGCAAGGGAAGGGAGTAATTAAGTTGAGCGGCACAGGATGGCGGATGGGCACCAGGTATACGTGGTGGCGTTAACGCGGCGGCCATCATTAAATGGGGCTGAATTTGTCTCCGTAAGGCCGCCAACATATCTGCACTTTCTGCATCCATTTGTTCCGATTGCGGTGGCAAACTTGTATCCCCTTTTTCTGAAAAAGCAGCCACGTTAAAACAGAATGACAAACGCAAATATTTCAACATACGATATAACGAATATAAAACAATTCGAGTTCCTACTTCTATGTCTTGTCGGTTTTTCACCCTTGGGTCTACGTCTACGCGTATGTATCGTGTCCCTTCGCATAGTCACCGGACGGTTCACCCCATGGAGCTTATAATAAAGCCCACAGGCGTTACAAACCATTTCCCCTTTCATGTTTCTTCTCCAAATGGTCGTGGTCATGGTGCCGCAATTTGTGCAGGACATGTCTACCTTTTTAGTCATGTTGCCGCTGTGCTGATCGAATTGTTGTTTCTGATCCTCCACCTACAACGACGGAGGTATGTGCAATATATATTCCAAGTGTACGCAGCAATACAATATTAGCAATTAATCATACCTTCACGTTCATTTTATTTGACCACGCGGTAAAATCTTGTGCTTGTTCTTCGTTAGGTTCCTGTTTGTAATTAACGATATCTGGACTCATCGGGGCTTTACTAGGGTAACTTTGTTTCCGACGGCCCTTAGTCTCCTTTCGACCGATACTGGCTGGACTGGATGGATTACTATCCATGGAAGTACCCTGAATATAATTAAAAAAACAAAATCATTTTCGTGCCATTAAAAAATTAAGCATATATTACTTGTACGATGTCATCCAAAAGTTTAGAATCAACTTTAATTAAAAAGCGAAAAAAAATCAATAAAATATAACAAAGTATTTATTCTTAAAATAAATTTCGAAGAAGTGATCGTAAACTGTTCCGAGATGGTGTCGGAACTACAAATATAAATTATCGGTGGCTTGAAAATTCGTACGGGTACAGGTACTTTAGCCGAGGGTTTGGAAAAGTAGCAGTAATTCCCCTGTAGGTACCTGTTATCAGGACAAAAAGCCAATAGAATGGAAAGTGCCACAAAGGATACTACAGTCCTGTTCCTTATTCTAATAGAAATCGGAGAATTCCTCGCGCTGAACAAAGCACGTTTTAAAATCTATAGAAACCCAACTTATCTGAACATCTGTTAACAGCGGGTTGACATGGTGGGCTCGGCGCTTATGGCCTATCACAAAGAGCTTCCCAGTTATCTATTATCTACAAGGCCTACCAGGTTTCTTACCTGCAGGCAGATGGGATCTGAATAGTCCCAAAAGGGATCCCTTGACACCCAAGGGTCACCTGACCTGTCTTCGTTTCTATACCTGCAGATCTCTCCTGGTATTTGCATTGAACAAACTGCAAGGACTTCCCATGGAAAACTATTATTTGCACGGAGATCAGGGTCAAAAGAGTGGGAACATAAAGGGAAAGTAAAGTTCCCCGTTTTTCCATAAATCTCGGAATTGGTACCTCAACTTATAACTTCTCCTCAAAAAAAAGTCAGCCTTTATTGCTGTTTACATGTGCTAAGATTACATATTTCATTAATATCCGATTAGGATATTTGGAAAGACCCAGAGGTGAAATTCGTATGTTTGTTTTTCAGCCACCCTCGACCATAATAAACCGTACAGCAATTTAATTACTATTGAATGGTACGTTACACTGTACAAACCTTATTTTCTATACACGGAACATTGGTACGATTGCCGAGTACAGAACAGTCAGGTACCGTACGTTCAATTGTTGTCCCTTGAGTGTCTCTGTAAAACCTAATTTGCGGCGATACTCTGTCCGAATCGACAGGAGTAATACCAATTTGTCTGTTATTGATTAAAGAACGTAGAAGATTAGTCGCCTCGCCAGTGAATCCATTGTTCAGTTTGTCACCGTTTGTTCTGGTTATTTCTAAACTCCTATTGCTGCTTAAAAAGGAAAACAAAAGATATGTTTTCTTAATTCCGTAAGAATACAATAGTGCTAATAATAGGAAAATGTACAAATAAAACTATACAGGTACTTTTGTAGATAATTGAGTTCTTAGTCTAATGCGACATAATGACAATGTTATCTTATCTTTGGGACTACACTACACTTGTTGTGAGTGGTAGTTACACTCTGGTAATCCATAAAGTAAATACTTATTAAGCACACACAGCATGTTTGAACATCCCCAATCCGTAAGTGTGTAACATCATAGGAAGTTGCCCACATGACAAATAAACATATTCAAACAAATTTAGATGTATCGATCCATTAATGACAAAGGAACTCTATTCATTTGTACACAATTTGTTCTGAATGTCTAATTAACTGAACCTAGATTCTACAGATTATAATCAATGGAGTCGTACTGTATTGCACGAGACAGTGTTCTTACATTTCTGAGTCATACATTAATAATTTTATACTCACTTTGCTAACGCTTGCCACAGTTTTGTTGTTTCTTGGTCAATATTAGTATCTGAACAATTACTTTCTGGTGTGTCCATTCTATTCACTGGACTATGATTGGGGGTACTTGGTTTCGATTCTTCGTAACTTGTTTCCACTTTCATTCTTTTGTTAATGGTCATGTCGTAACCATTTTCTTCCCCCTCTGAATCTTGCTCATCCCGATCTTCTATCTCTAATCTGTCTGGATCGGAACTGTTCGAACACGTGTCATCCTCTGGTTCACACTTAATGTTATCATGCTCTGGCATATCATTGGTACGCAACTCCAAATGATGCGTTTGTGTTTGAGGTATAACGTTTTGATTAATGCTGGCCGGAGAGTTAGGCTCCTCGTTGAACAATGTCTTGTTCAACTGGAGAAATGACTGTAGAGGGCTTAAGCCTGCTACTTTGGCAGTGGAGAAAGACTTCTGCAAACAAAGCGAACAACAGGTTTTTCTCTGATGCATTTCTTGTACAATTAAACAACTTTATTAATTTTTCTTTAAATAAGGGTAAAAATTCATTCATTGAGTTTTACAGAACGTTTCATTCAATGCAAGAAATCAGAGACAGTAGTTTGATATTTGTACCTTGCACCTGCTCAGGATTGACTAGCAGGAAAATAATTAGCTATGCATAACTTTTTTTTGTGATACAATCACTATCGAACTGATAAGGTTAAAGTTGACTGCAATGAAGGAAACCTTGAAATGTCTTATGTAATTACTGATATATCAGGGCACAGAAGCAAATAAATGGTATCCTGTATACATTACAGATGTGTTAGGATTACACGGAATACACAGGCTGAAGCATTCTTATCTACAATCATACACTACACGTTCCCAGTTGCATCATTACTTGGAATGGAATGACTACTACCTCTGTCAGTAATACTAAACTAATTTTTACTCATTATTCAATGTATGATAACACTTGTATTGCATGACTCTTGTTAACACACTGTTGTGCACTTTTCTTAGTAGTATGTAAAAATTATTTTTAGCTGATACCTGATCATCGTGCGATGATAACTGCTTGGCATAATCCAGGTACTGTTTGAGTATGACATCAGATTTGTGTGACACCTCACGGAAGTTGTGCAGTACATCCAACTTGTACACACATCGGTGACAAATGATTGGTGGCAAAGAATCTCCATCTTTCACCTGAATAAATTACAATAACAAACTTCATTTTACAATGACTCCAAATCTTCTCTTACTGCATCAAAGAACTAGCATTATTTAACACAACTTATGGATCAAATTAAATTCAACTATTTGATTCATGTACACTAATATTATTTTATAAAATCAGACAAATCTGGTCTAACATTGAAAGAAAAATTAGAGATTAATTCTAATCTATTTCAAAGTAAGTGAGCTCAAATTATAAAATTATCATATCTTAGAGTATTATACTTGAATTAATAATTCATAGATAGAAGAATAAACAATCATTCGATCCTGTCAATCATTCGGTGTATCTCTAAAAAAAAATATTCAGATTCGACAAAAAGATACGAAATAATATCTGTCGTTTCCGGTGAAGAAAATACGGTCATTCGAAATATCGGTCCAGTGCAATACAAGGATTCACACGAGAGAGAGACTGCGATGCCGTATAGGAAGGATCTGTCGATTAAAGTAGGTTGGACGGAAGCAGAGCTTTCCTCCAGAGGGGCATAGAACGAACCGTGGACAAGAAGACGAATTACGGGAGGGAGAGGAGTAGCACGCAGGGAGCAGAGTGAAATGTGACAGCGGCTCGTGGAATCCGCGTGTGAAACCTGATAACACAGGCCGTCTAAATAAGGAGCTGCTCCCCTCCCCCCTCGTGTGATTCGCAACAAGCGAGGAGCAGAGAGCTTATCACTGCCATTTTAAATGCCCCCCCCGTGTGTAGTCGGCTTATCTCGCGGACACATCTCTTGCCAAACTTTCTCCCGTGGCACGCGCACACACACCACACACGTACACACACACGCACGCACCCTTGAGGAGACGGCGAGCGTGGAAAAGAGACAGTTGTATACGACGTAAGACGTAGAGGGACGAGGAGGCCGGACGAGGCGAGAGCAATGGGAGCGCGCGCGCGCGACAGAGAAAGAGAGAGAGAGAGAGAGAGAGAGAGAGAGAGGGAGACACAGTGATAATGCGAGGACCACAGATGGTCGCGTCTAATTTATCATCGCAACGGCACGAGGACCCGGTGAAAACACGAGACGGGACTCACCGTGATCGAGAGGCACGTTAGTATCTTGTCGGCGAAGTTTCGCTGGGCGCCCTCCTCCTCGAATATGGACAATTTGACACCGTCCGACGATAAACAAAGGCGACACAGCTCGTAGAACTTGGGCGGTACATCGAACATAATTGTGAGCTCCGGCTACGTTGCGCCCTGTGTAAAGCGCGAGTCATCAAGAGTCAGACTCTTCCCTTGGCCGACGTACTATCTTTCTCCACTGCCACTACGCGTTTAGCGACGAGGAAGGGTACGCGATCACTTATCACAGTCACCGCCGCGGCTCATTGTCAGCGGCACACAGTACATAAGATCATGCGGTTGCGATTCTAGGTAGAAAGGAGACTACCATTCCGGCCAGGCTACCTCCGCTCCTCGTCTCAACATCCTTGCCGCTCGGTGGCGCTCAAGTTCCCGTGAAAACGATGGGTTTTTTTTTCCTTTTTAAATCGAAACGAAATGTGATAAAGGACTTGAAATGATATTTCGATTCTCTGTTTTGGTAATAATGATATTTTAAAGAAATAATTAGGAAATTGTTGCTGTTATGCTTCCCTTCCGAGGTTTCAGAGGAACATAATGATTAAAGTTATCTTGTTTGATATCTAGAATTACATAGATTCACCGAACTTTCAAATTTTGCTATTGTACATTTAGTAAGTGAAACAGAAACATTTGAAAGGATTAACTTACAAAATTAAACATGATATATACAATTAATATATTTGAATGTTTCGATTACTGAGTCAGTACTTCGTCTTTTTATTTACGATGCTATTTTCAAAATTATCCCTTAAAATGAAAAAACAGTTACTTTTCAACAATAAGATTATTGTGAAGTAAATTAAGATGTTATCTAAAGTATTTTAATGAAAAAGAAGTAGTGTTTTAAGTACTTATTTAATTTTGCTGGAGTTTTCAGATTCCTGATCAAACATCGCGCCATCTTCTTTCTGCCATTTTTCTGGACTATCTGATTTTCCTGTTACACTTGTTATGTAATTTATCTCACAAAAGGTGCAAGATATTATTGGTATCTGTAAACACGTATTTGCAATAAAGAATATTTTTATGTACGATTATCCTTGTCATAATCTATGACATTGATTTATACACACCCTTTTGATTTTGGAAATTGATATGTTCCAGTTTTCGGATTACATCTTTAAACTTATTTATATTCGCGTAATAGATACTATCTTCGTGTTTCTATGCACTTCGTAAAACCTAACTGTACTTTCGCATCGTGAATGATGAATTCAGGATAAAAAGAATCGCCTGAATATGACAACAGCTAAAGATTTACCGTTAAGACGGCCAAATGATGATTATCAATGCATCCTCTGAAAAGCAGTTCATCTTCGTGTAAAAAATTTACAAAACTCGTGCAATTCTTTTGCCCATGATTTAACGGAAGCCAAGTATATTATTAGCAAGAGACTGGACAACGGATGATTAAGAATTGAATTTAAATGATGCTCTAATTTCATTATAGCATAAAAATTGTAAAGAATTTAATTAGCGACTCATTGATTCAATGTCATACATTGGTCAGAAATCAGTAAGCAAATCGATGGAAGAAACAGGTTTCTTATCACGCGTCATTTTACTAGGAATTTCATTACATCGAATAAGTAGCCCAACCCATAAATAAATCAGGCAAACGGGGGGAATGACTAACGCAAGATTACGCGACCCATCGGCCACTTTCGGCCCACGCTATTTTATCACACGTTTAATCCGATCTTCGTACGTATAAGGTTATGATACGGTGGTCCATAGATTTTGAATCGTGTTTAAACTCTTTATACGATGCACTATCAATTAACTTTTTTGCCTAATTAGAAACTAATAATCAAACTTTTATCTCTTCTTGAAATTGTTGCAGTTGATTAATGTTTGCTACATCAGTTCTTTTTTCTTTTAAATTCCCTGACCACTAAATGATTATTCATAAAATATCTTGCTCTACCTTCATATATCAACATATAGCTTTTATTATTATTGTGTATAACAGTATTTACACAAATGTACAAGTCACACACATTTTAGTAAATGTATGTTCAAATCACACAGCGCAACAGGCAAAGTTAGAGTTGTACTAGGCAAGAGATGAACTATATAGTTACCACTCCACAAAGAGTTGGAGCTCATTAAGTTTGTCTGCAAGTATTTAATGTTTTAGAAAACACAATGTGGAAATTAAGGCTTATTGCATGTGCCACCTCTTGTTGCTTTATGTCTGTGACAGTGTGAGTTTCATTTCTCTGTTCTGGCATTAGAGATCATGAATATTAATCAAAGATGAGTAATTCTACTGTATGTATGTACACTCCGTGCATATATAGAACCATGATGCACTGGAAAAAATAGTCTTATCAATGAGTTACTATCTTTACAAGAATAGTAACCATAAATATATTCTTCTTGAAAAATTAGTATAAAAAATGTGAAATTAAAAGAAATCTTACATTTTTGTATTGTTCTATAATTGAGATTTGCCCGCAAATAGTATAAATTCAACGATAGAAAATTAAAATCACTTTGGTAAATTAAACATAATACCCTAATGAAGTTCAATTCGCATCACAAAATTTTCAGTAACTTTCCAAATGTAACTGAATATTCTATTCCGAGTATTAAGTGGGAATGTTCTGTATCGAAATAATAGAGAGACATACACCTTCTTCGCGATATACACTCACAAAAGCAGACAAAGAAGTGTTTAAACATATTTCCGTATTCATTTGCACGAGATATATACAGATTAACTGGGCGCATTTTACCTTTCCGTAATAAAAAGTTTCATGAGGTATGTACTGTACACCCAGTATCAGGTCATGAAATAATTTAAGTAAAATAACATTTACCAGAATATATCTATCATTAAATTTATATCACAATTCTGTCCTAATCGTCGTCCTTTCAGAAAGGTTTTGTTGCGGAATAGCATTTGCAGTTTGAATGCTATTCATTTTACTATCTAATTCGAATAATCTAATATTTCTGTAATATTTCTTAAATTTTTTTCTAATAAGCTTCGCTTTATGCTGATCCTTTCTGAGATCGACGGTAGAGCTTAACAACAAGTGTACGTCCTTAATATGCGCTAACTTTAACAAAATGATTTTTCTCCTGTTCCTAGCACCTGTTCTTCCCAGTAAATTAATATGTCTGATCAATTTTCGATAATCACGAAGCAATTGTTCTATAATGTCTAGACACAGCCATCGTGTTCGAGCAATACAAGCGTCTGGTTGCTCACCAGCTCCAGACTGACAAATATTTACAAGAGCTTCGACGTGCGAATGCCCATCCAAGTTCGCCAAGACAAAATTAACGAGATTAGGAATGGTAATTGGCAGAGAAAATGGATACACTGTGCTATCCTCTTTTCTGAAACAGTAAGGATAAAGAACTTATTATAGAACTCTATTAGTTTGACTTAATTGCAGTTACCTTTTAGCAGGAAAGAATAGGATGGATGGGAATCGATTCATATTATATTCCCACGGCAAATCATTGTTATCACCGTCAACCCCGACGAATGAAAGATGATCCATTTTGCGCAAGTAATAAGCCACTGTTAAATATGTATATGAAATCGCGCTACAAAATGCACAATAAGGAGAGTGGTACATCACAACCACATCCTACATAAAGATCATTAAGTGTAATATATGTTCTAATTATAGATTCACTCTAGAAGTTGATTCTTCTTTTAATACATTACCTTTAGTGGATCTAGAATAGTATCCAAGAAGGTTTCGGTAGTTAGCTCTGGGATACAGATACTTCGTGAATCTTTTGTTTCACAAGTGATATTGCTTTTGAATTTCTGAGCGAAACGTCTTGAATCACTTGAGCGTAGAGTCCGTTGTAAAACGCCTTGAGTATAATTATTTATAAATTGTACAAGTGTATACCGATTAAAATCGTCCTGCATGACGTATTGACTTTCATGCTGAAACAAATAATTACACGTTAATTATATCTGCAAAGACACGCACGCACGCACGCACCGAACATATACAAATGTTATAAACAGAATGGACGCCGATACTTACAGCAACATCTAATATAACAACAGCAGTCTTATCCTTCTTTTTTAAAACGTCTATTCCAAGACCTTCCGCGAAATGGAAGTAATGCAAACTATCGATTGCTATTAGGGCCAATGTTTTATTAATTTGACAGACTGACTTTGTTAGATTTAAATTCGGGTGGTCAAGGGAATCGCGTGGAAATATAGGATGATGATATTTATTTCCAGCTATCCACCGTTTACACTCCTGTTTTAAATACTCGTGTTTTACTGCATTTGCAGATTGTACATCATGTTCATTTCCAGTGGCTAATGATGCTGTCTGCCTGTGACTAAAAAAAGAAGACAATATAACAGCTAAAGAATAACATCTATGAAATAAACATTTTTTTACCTTCTAGTTTTAAATCCTTGTTGTAACTTTGCCGATACATAAGCCTTGTTACAGCAAATTTCATATTTCTCTTGTAGATTCTCTCTAGTAGAAAGTTTAAAAATATCTGCACCTTTACACACATCGCTTGCTTTATCAGAATCAAGCTTACAAACGGATGATTCCTTTTCAGCACCATTTAATACGTTTTTCTTACATAGAGAGCATTTATTCATTACAATATTCGCACAACAGCTATCATTAATCCATCGTTGAATCGAAACACTAACAACAGATTGGTTTAACAGATTCCTGTTCTCCTTTAAGATTTTACTACATTGTCTGTTCCTTCCAGAGTGCCTACTAACAGCTGTACAGCGATTAAGTTTGAGACGTTCGATTATATCTGTAGCCAAGAGATTGTCTGCACAGTTATAGTATTGCAGTCCAATTTCTCTAATCTGAAGGGTCAATGTTATTTTCATTATATAACTTTTGGATGTCAAATTTACTTTTATGTTACTACCTACCAAATTATAATTGTAATTTTCAAGGAGCAGAGGATTACGAGGTGTGAAGAGAAAAAGTACAGGCCCCTCTCTCAGATATGGTGCTAAAGTTAGTGCTTTTATCCCAGGAGGCTGTAGCCATAGTGCTGGTTGATGAGTGGAGCTCCTAATCCAATTTAATATGTTTTCGGAAGTCCATTCAGAGTCTTCTGGATACCTCTAAACATTTGAATTCTCAAACTCATTTAATCGTCCTATATATGTATGCAAATGTTTTTGCTGTATGTATCCCATATAGAATTATATTATTGCCACGTGTATAATTGCAAAACATGTTTATATACTTACTAGAGATTCATTCCACATGAGTAAATTTGCAGACGGAAATGTATAAATATTATGGTCTCTTTCACTTGCTAATTTACTAGTAACAATAGCAAATATCAATTCTCTGTTAGGATCACTTTCTAAAGCACTGATAGCAGCCTTGTGAAATTCTTTGTAACCAGGTGTTCTGTCTAACCTTGTAAAATTAAAATACCCTACCACCACAGCCTGCAATATGGATCACAGATTATTCACTTATTTTATGAATAATAATTTAACATTATGTTTTCATATTTACATCATAATTGACAAGTAACTCTATCAGTTGTTCTGGATGAATGATCCTAACAATTGGATTCATGACCGCATGAAGAAAACGAATCATGTACTGTGAAGTACGAATTCCTTTGTATTGTATACCAGAATCTCTTGATGGATACAGCATTAATAGAGGGTACCTTTGAATTTTATATTGAGCTCTACACTCTGAGCTTGGATGCCAACAATTAATGGCAGCAAAAAATACCTGAAATGACACATATTTTAATGTCACGGCAGAAAATAAGAAGGATACACTTACAACTATAAAATTGAAGATACCTGTGTATCATAATGCTGAGCAACTTTTTCAAATTCTGGACGCACAGCTTGACTCTCAGCATCCCACGGAGCATAATACATAACAAAACTAAAATCTGCTTCACGAACCATTTCTATCACAGCTCCCACATGACCTTTGTAAAAATCTAGCACAATGGAACTTTGATTAAAGAATGGCTTGGCTGTTGGTGGCTTTGACACCTTGGGTGATCTACAATAAAAACAATAAACAATTAGTTTCGTTATTCTAAAAAAAAGTCGTCTCTTCTGACACATTCAAGCGAGAAAACATCTGTTGCGGCATATCGGAAACGTGGACGTCACGTTGTTTTTAGGGTGAAATTGAAACGTCACATTGTGGATCACAATTAATTGACGATTTGACATAACCTAAAACTTACGAGCTGTGAAGCGCAGTCAAGGCTGTGAAGGTGACTGCGAGGAAAAAACAAATTTCTCTCGCGTACGAGAACATTTTGCTGGCTACTCTGTCTTCTATCACAAGCCTCTGACTCGACTCCTTGGCCACGTCGTTACTTCCTGAGTCCGGCGTAATCGTGTGCGAGTTATCAGCATTTCTCAGCGTGGTGGCTTCTAGCTCTTCTTTCAACATTATCCGTGACAACCAAAAGGAAATTAAGGGAGAACAATCACCGCGCGTTAGTACCTCATTACACTCGCTTTATTTACTCTGACCCGTAAGTCGAACCGCTGTTTATTTAATTAAAAACAATTAGCCGGGTTTTTCGTGGGCCTTTACTGAGCCACCTGTATTTTCATAGACCGGAAACAGCTGACCGCTTGTCAACATATCGTCGACCAAGAACACAAGAAAATAAGATCGGATTGGATTTCCTTCGAACTGCGAAAAACTAAATAGAATGGTTCTGAAGTCGTGTCTCCTGAAGCATCTTTCAGCTGTAATCAGCGATCGTCAATCAAAAATCAAATTTGTCCAAACATGTAGTTTACTATAAAATTTAAAAGTGCAACCTTATCAGACTACAGTTTTGAATTTCTTACTCTTTACATTACTATCATTCATATGCATATATACAGTACAATATTATCTTGGGAACCTTATCAGGATTTGAATTAATATTGAGCACCACTGAAGATTTATATGCAGTATTAGAGAGCTGCTTTGTTGTTAATGATAAAATGATGGGGAACTTATTTAAGTACAATGCTTTAATTGTACTTTTGATAGATTAAGTTTACTTTAGATAAGAAATATGAAGAGTCTGTTGATTTTTGTACCAAACAGTCTCTGCAAAGAGAAGTCAGGGTACCTGTTTGGCAAAGTACTGTATGATGAGAACACCGGAGTTAAGAAATTTTATGTAATTGGAATATGTGCAGTAGACAATTTGGGAACAGTGAAATTGAACACTAACATAATTGGATACTATTCTGGGATAGAACAGAAACGAGGACATACAGATAAAAAATATACAGACTGGCTTAACGTATTTTTACGTACTAGTTGTTCTGGAAAAAGTAATTACGATTATGGTATAAGGGGTATTACTATAAACAATAAAAAGATTTCAACCTTACATTGCCATACAGTAATTGCAGTATATAATCAGGCAGCACTTAGAGAAACAGAATTGCTCGATCAAAAAGCAACAACGGGAGATCATTTTTATGAATTAATGAAGATTGTACAAAACAAGCAAGTTGAAGGAGAATTACAAAAGAAAGGAAAATTCACGTATATAAAAGAAACTCTCCTAGTCTATCACATGTTTCTATATTTCTATCCAGTTCTTCTGCTTAATAAAATAACAAACAAATTACTACCACTATTAAAATATTCCTTTCTTGGTTTACATGTACATGGCTGGTTGGAAAATGTTAAATGGATGCTAATAGCTATAATAAAAAACAAGAGGTTTACATTGAAAACTGGTAATCATGTTTTCGCGCTAATAATAGATATGTTACTAGGAATATTTATATTGCAACTATTATTGCATTATCTTGAATATACATCCCCATCTCAAATACTTTTAAATAATGCAGAGGCAAGTTGAAAATGTAATGTTATATTATTAACAATAATACATTTAACGTTTACCTCAATGTCTAAATGCATTCATTTTTTACAGAAAGTTGTAACATTACTCAAAGATTTAATAAACTGGTTAATGGGTGTGCCAGCTGGGTTAAAATTAAATCATGCTCTAAATAATATGCTTGGGAAATTCTTTCAGTATCATATACACTTATGGTGGACATTTTTGATATTCATGAAACCTGTAATGGATTTTGCTTTTGAGGTGTTAGTATTATTTGGAAGATTGGGTATTACATTTCAAATAGCAATAGCAGCAGACCTTCTGGCTCTTGTTAGCTTCCATGCATACTGTATTTATGTGTATGCAGCAAGGTAATAAAATACTGTGCGTACAAAGTACAATTGAATTATTAATTCAATTCTTTTATTAGGCTCTTCAACATTCAATTAAAGGGTATCACAGCTTTAGTCAGACTGTTTCTAGGCAAGAAGAAAAATCCATTAAGAGAGAGAGTTGATTCTTGTCAGTATCAACCTGACCAATTGTTTGTGGGCACTCTGTTATTTACAATTCTTTTGTTTCTTATGCCAACAACATGGGTCTACTATGCAGTTTTCACTACGGTACATAAAAGTGTATAGTATTCTTATGACTTTAATAATTATTAGATGTACAATAATTGTTTATTACAGCTCAGACTAGCATTGATTGGTTTTGGAGGCTTTTTGACTAGGATGAAATTCTATCTTCAAGTTATGCCTGTGTATACATTCTTTAAGTGGTTGTTCCATTCATACAGTACATGCAGTAAGTGAAATATTTAGCAGTTAACTCTCTTAACGTCACTCGATTAACAGTGCAATTTATTTGTTTCAGGTATTGTCAATATTAAGTTATATTCTCATCATATGGAAAGGCCAATTATATTAATAATGACAATGGTTCTGGCACCGTGGCAACATACATGGAGTAAATGTATACCAGACACAATTACTCATCATCCACCCATTGAATGGAATAAGATAATAAGTAATATAATATGGGGTGAATTGCTATATCCCTTATAAGAATTTATTTATAATTTTATATAATTTAATAAAACTATCTTTCTATTTTACATTTTCATGTTAAGACTACATTCATTGATTTAGATTTTTGAAAGATGTGTCTTGTTTGGCTTTGAGTCCAAAGAGGAATTGTTCCACTTCTGGATCCATGTTCTTAGTTAATTTTTGGTCAATGTCATTCTCTTCTCTAAGTATGCAAAAATAAACAAGGAAAATTGTTACACTTAGTGATACAATTATTCCTTGATATTTTGGTACATCTTGACTTGGATTATAACCATTAGCAGGCCACTTTGCAGCTGGAGAAGTTGAATATTTCACAGGCTTATCAGGGTCAAAATCATCTTCCTTAGTGTTGGTACTGTATTTTGAACCATATATACAAGAAACCGCATATCTAAAAAAAAAAGTTTACAATAATACAAAGAGTTCAACTTACTTGTAATAATTTTATTTAGTCCTAAAAGTTTATTGATTATCAAATTAAATATTCATTATGATTCATAACCTCATAGGTTCAAGTTATTTTAAAATTGGGTAAAAAGGCATTTAACATTATATTTATACTTTTATATATGCACCTTTTCCACATTGGGTTTCCACTTCTAGTTAATACAGACTCAATAAACTTTACACGTATCATTTTTAAAATAATTTGAGTTAGCGCGTGATGAAACACAACCAGTTTCCGAGTAATAAATATATATATTAGATACACCTATTTACGTTGAAGTAGAAATATATTAATAGGTAGTTTTACTTTGTACAAAATTTGTCTTACATTTAAATATACTCAGATCTTGTAGATCAAGTCATTATATTTGTTTCAATTTAGTCTTCTTTCCTAAATAAATATACTATACCACCTGATTTGCTCTTTTCGATGCTCTTATTCTTCAGTATCACAGGCTGAAGTATCCACATGTACGGCAATAATCAATTTTAAGAGTGGATATAAGTTTTCTATGTTTTCTTATATGTATTGCACAAGTTTCAAAATATAATAGCTTCAAGAATTTTATTTTAATATTCCAAATTTGTTGTTACATTTTTATATAAAATAATTTTTTAGTGCGTACATGCGATGGGATCCGATGGCACGTCAGAAGTTGAGGTTAAACATCCGAAATCACGGAAAAGGACGAAAAAAAAAGATAAATCAATAGGTAAATATTCAGAAATTTTCATCTACGTTTAACAATTTTATATAATCGATGTAATACGAGTGACATCAACACTATTTCGAGTTGTTTATAAAATAAAGTTCTTCTGAGGTTACATGGGATGCATATCGTTGAAAAAACACGTTTTATTCAACTTTTTACAAACTGCATTAATTAAATTACGTTGCAGATGCATCAGAGGATAATAACGATCAATTAACGGAAACTGTTGAGCAAAATGTAATACAGAAAAAGGGAAGGAAAAGGAAACAAAAAGCAAACAGTGGCCATAACTTAAATGGTACTAATGATAAGAAGATCAAGAATGATAGAGAGGAAAATGATTTTGAAAATGACGAAATCACTTCTCCAAAAAAGATTAAAAAATCAAGGTAAATTACTTACACCTGTATTACCTCTTTAGAACGGTAGACTCATATAAATGTCTAATATTTTTTTTCCTCAGTTCTGCAAATGCTGACAGTGACTCGGACAACACAGAAACTCAGGAAAGCGATACAAAGAAGCCAAAGCAACCTTCTAAGAGGCAAATGAAAAGGGAAAAGGCTGAAAAAAAAGAAAGTGAAAAGAAGGAAGCCGGTAGATTGGAAGCAATGAAAAAAGGACTGAACTATGTTTCTAAGGTAGTCAAACCAGATTTTAGCCTGATATAAAACTTTAAATAAATATGTATTTTAATCACATGATTCTTTCTTTACAGTGGAAACATGCCAGAAGTGAATGGAAATTTGAGAAATTAAGACAGATTTGGTTAATAGATAACTTGCTAGATGAAACTTGCATTCCAGATGATGTGTTTCCCATGGTTCTAGAATATTTTGAAGGGTGCAAAGGAATGGCCAGGGAACAGCTGTTAAAAAAAGGAATGGATGTTATGAAGAAAGTAGAGGAGAATGAAGAGAACAAAGATGAAGTAGAGACTGTGGCTTACCAAAGGGCACGAAAGCTTTTGCAAGCTTTACCTACTGAAACATAATTAGCTCAGCATGTACTGAAAGAAATTGAACGAATCATTTTGTATCTTACACTATCCTACTAGCAAAAGTAAGTATTAAATGTTCAATTTGAACATATTTCTGTATAGTTTGTGGACAAATTTTTAGTTTCATGTTTTCTTCGTGTAATATCTTCTGCATTTGTTGCGAATGTAATCATAAAAATGTTACTCAAATTATAGTAAGTCATTACATGTTCTTGTCCTGTATGGAAATAATAAACTCTGTCATACATATGGTCATATGAAATATTTGTAAATAAAAAAATTTATGAGTTTATTATACGTACATGGTTTATTTAACAGTTTAACAATTCCGTATAAGTTAACAGTTTATAAAGTTGAAGGCTATACATTATTAAAAACTTGTACTTCATACTTATTAATAGGAAGTATCCTTGTACAAAATATTATACAAGTATCCCATTGACTACTTAAGTTGTTCAATGGCGAATCATAATGAAAATAAATTTCATGATTCCGAATACTTATCTACAAATTGTTTAAGTTTATCTACATCTTGAAGGCCAACAATTCGTTCTAGAACCTTTCCATCCTTCATTGCAATTAATACTGGCACAGATCCAACCTGTGCAAATTTTTAGGGCATCAATGTCAGTAAGAAAAAGACTGTAGACTTTATCCGTTTGTAGGATACACAATTGTCTGAAACTTAATATAATACAATGTACAATAAAAAACTGACCTCATAGTCCAAAGCAAGATCACTGTTTTCGTCTATGTCAACCTTTGCTAACAAAACTTTTCCTTGTTTTTCCGCAATTACTGACTCTATACGTGGTGTTAACATACGGCATGGATTGCACCATCTACAAGAAATATTGCATGTCAGGTTATTGATTGTGTAAACAATTTGACAATTAAAAATAATATAATACGATACGTACGTTGCAAAGAAATCAACGATCACAGGTACCTTGGACTTCCTGACACGATCGTCAAAATCTTTTAGATCCTGAACTTTAAAGGCGGTAGAGATTGCTTGTTCTTGAGCTGGTGCATTTGCAAAAGTTCTGCTTCCTAGGGCATTGCGTACAGTTCTAATTCCGACTCGCAACATAGTTCCTTATGTATTATCAGTATACAATGATCACAGTAAATAACACTCGAAATGATAACGCAATAATCACAAACGTTTCCGAAAACGTAATACACAATGCGTTTTGGTTTAACCTATCCTTTCAGGGTTACGCTGTTGATAAAGAAGACTGCTGACTGCATCAGTAGGGATTAGACTCATAGTGACCAACATTATAAAGTGAGAGTAAAGCGGCCTGGATTCTTCATTCCGATAAAGTCAGCTGCAATGATGTATATTAAGATAATGTTTGTAAAAAATATATACAACCTAACAAATCTTCCGCACTTCTTTGTATGCATTTTTAACGACTAATAAACATTTGAAGAATACTTCAGAGGATTCCTATATACATACTGTATGTCATAATCGATATTCACTATTTATACCGCGAAGATTGACAAAAAAAAGAATTATTTTGTATACGTTGTCATGAAGTGTTATTAGTAAAATATAGTAGTAATTAATATTTGCGTAATTGAGTAATAGATCCTAGAAGACTGGGATTTAGATAAACCTTTTTTTTTTCGTGAATTCAGAAATAACGATCTCGATGATTTGAATTCCACATTACTTTTCCGGCTAGTGACCCACTTCTGTTTTCGACACCCCCTCTTCGCGTGGACGTGGACCTTGTCGATTGTGTCCGATTGTGTGGCAATCCTCATCCGAACATGCGTCACGCATCGGAACACCTAAGGGCAACGTATTGTCTACGCCCGGAAACGTATTTGCGACGCATTAAACGCATTATCGACTGAGCAACCACAGGAACCTCTCTAATGGCTGGCTGCTGAAGACATATCCTCGGCGCTCGTTTAATTATGTTGCTAAAGCGGCCGTGAAGCGAGTATTACCGTGAGAATTGTGACGCTTGCTTCTAGAGCTGTCACTTTAATTTTATTCCTTTTCAGCAGGCATTAAAATAAACAAAATGATTACCTCAATTCACGCTCGTGACCTTCGTGAAAATATCCAACGTTATGTTCGCTTCTAACTTATTTCGTCCCTTCCTTTTGTGTATTACTAAAAAAAAAAAGGAAGCAAAAACAATTTAACTCCCGATACTACAGCCTATAACGCATACATACAGGATCTCGCTTGAGGGATATTTTAATACCCAAAGCCAATCAGAATTCTAAGAATTATTATTCCATTGAATATAATTCACGATCCCTGAAGCGAGTGCTACATATTACAGGACATCCTGTGTAATATATACAATTAATCCCGTAAGAATGCACTGAGTGATTCATAGAATTTTATGAATAAAACTGTCGTGACTAAGATCGATCACGTTGCGAGAGTATGCAAGTAACAACGCATTTACGTGTTTCATTTCCACGAGTGCAACCGCGTTTACCTTTCGACGAATTGCAATGAGAAATCGATCCCTCTCCTTCTGGTGTATTCCTTCACGGGCTCGAGGAACCATAGAATGTTTTTATCACGTGACGATTGTTGGACGAATTAGTTTGTTGTATCGACTGTTCCCATCGTATTCAACAATGCTGACCGTAAGCCGGTTCGTTCATTATCGTCTATTATTGGATTCGCGACCAATGATGTAACTCGACGACGGATAGATCAGAGGGACACCGTTGCATTTTTCGCCGGTCGAACATGTATGGCGGTTTAATTGCTGAATTGAATCATTTACAATTAAACGGTGAGTTTCACGCCTGACGTAACACGAACTGCTGTGTGCGTGTCCTTTAAACAGCTTAAACACGATACTGAAACAAATTGGAACAACCGTGTCAGAGAATTTCCGCGAACAAGGATACACAAATGTACATTTTAATGGTTTTAATCAACCTTATTTCGTCGAAGCTTTCGGTAACCATTCGTGTTACTCTAATAGTAGATCTTTCAGAACTATCTCCACCAGTGTTTGTTTTCCAATTGACTGCCTGTTATTCTTCCTCGGCGACGTTACGTAAAAAGAAAAGAACGTTACGCAACGTCCCGTTTCTTTCGTTCCACCACGGGACACCTGTAAATCAGAGACAGGCGGAATCATGAGAAATTTCGTGCTCCCGATGCTGTTCGAAAATTATCCTCGACGATCGGATCAGAGCGTAATTAAATGAGAGTGCAGACCGTGCTTGTTTCTTTCCTTGATTTTTCAACGTCCAGTGATGCATTGTACGATGTCGGTTTGTCGATTCCATTTCGATGTACACGACGGAACGAAAAGCTGTTACGCAAGCTCGTTCCTAGTATTCTGACAGGGCGCACTTACGAAAATAACAGATTTTCTCCGTGGGAAAGTCTCTATACTGGGGGCTGGAACGCACGGCAAGGAAACAATGGTCTCTTCCCACGTGAAAACAAAGTCACGACATATTGTACAGCTGGATACAAAAGTATTGGGTCCACCTAGAAAATTTCGAAATTTCAATCATTCACATCTAGTTTATATTACAACGAGCTACGAAAGTATTCAGGCCAGAATGGTATTAATATGGAAATTGTCGAAGTACTTTCATTGTTCGTTGTATCTGCAAACATCAGTTAAGTTAACAAATGGCTCCCTATTATTCCCTCCTGAAGAAAGTGCCTTTTATGTTATATGCACAGTTCACAGTAGCTGATGAAAGCACATTTACTTAAAGTAACTATATATTTTTGTCACAAAAATCCATATTAGAATTTTCCTATAAATTAATACTGCTTTAGCAAGAAATATACAAAAAATAATGCAAAATTCAGAATGGCGGAAGCAAAATAGCGATCTAAATAGCGGTTTTACAGTAGCGATCGTTTATCGCAAGAAAATCTTAAAATAACATTTGTTCCCCGAACGTCTAATATGATGACGCAATCGATTTCGCGATAATTAGTTAAGCTGAATACAATGTGTTTCGCAAAGCATCCTTAAAAACGCAACGATGAAGCGTGTGATAATGGAAACGAAAGTTCGTTACGTCCACACATCGACGCCCGTGCGCCACGATTGTAAACAGTAAATATACAGTAGTTGTTCCACGATATCAATTATTTCTTCGGTAATCAATAACACGATTGGTTCATGCCGCGCGCACCTGTGTCCACGAGAACATACACACACACACACACAGGTACACGTCGATCGATGAAATGACCATCATAGTTGGTTCGTGAACGATTAAAATGGATGGAGTTGCGCAAGTAATCCGCGTATGACTCGTGCCATTACGTTCAAGACAGGTAGTTTACTTTTGCCACCAAGGTCCCGGCCACCTTGGTCTTCGGACCTTTTCCTCGCGCGTCACGATCCTAGAAAATCATTCCGTTTGAGTCCAAGTAAGTAGGTTGCCTTCGCCGTTCGTGGATTGCGTAAAGCTCGTCTTTTATTTCCTTATATGCCATCACCGCGCCGACGAAAGCGTCTCCTTTGAATTATTCTCACGTAGAGACGCGAAATAATTTTTGTTCTCTTTCACAGCCGAGAGAGGACAGGATGCTTCGACGATTCCAAGGAACTTAATATTCATCTCCGGTTTCTGTGTCGAGGACTTCGCCGTGGCGTGGAAGATCCTCCGAAGACTGTTTTGTTCCGTCGAGTAAACACGGGCGAAGCGACTTATGGAATTAACGAAGAGCATTCCGTGGATTACGACAAACGAGCGTGATACCAAAAGAACATCAATGCTTCGTTTATCGCGGCACCTCAGTGGTCAGGCGTGAATAGGAAAAACTTTCCGAGATCAGAAACGATCGTGAACACAGATTGAAATATTATTCTTAGACCACGGATGTTTATGTAAATATCACCCTGCAGAACGTAATGAAATAAAGCTATCAATACAGTTTACTGACGTCTGTACGCTATTATTAGAATTTTTTTTAATCCTATACATGTAGTCCTTGCAAGCGGCAAATGCGCAGGCAAAAAGCTAATAGTTTTGTAAATAAGTGGTTTCTTTTCTGCACTGAATTTAGACCGTTTACTTGGTAGCCAATGCATATCTTTCCTTTTCATTTTGGTTTGTTCGATTTTTTTTACGGATATGGTGTTGCCAAGTCAGTTTTGAATCCAGATGCATTCCCAGGCGTTTGACTACTTCCTGTTGTGGAATTTCGTTGTTATGTAGAGTAATTTTAGGAGTTGTACCATTATGAGAATAGTAAAAAATTCGGTTTCTATGTTCATAAATTACCGTTGAGAACTGTGAGTTCGCATGGATGTCCGTCCTAATTATTACTGGTCGAAGCTGCTCCCCGCCGAATGAAATCTGTTCGTGAGTGTGTCGTGAGCAGGCGGCACGATAGAAAAAGCCCCCGGAGAAAGTATGTAGAACGCCAGGGGAGTCTGAATAGAGGAACTCGGCCTGTAATCGCGCGGAATAGAAAGGCCAGGGGGTTTTTACGGGGGTTAGGGCGATACGGGGTGAGTAAATCATAAAAGGAAAACCGTTGGTTGTTCTGGTAACCGTCGATCTAGGATTTCATCTGGCCCGACACCACGCTGACTAGAATAGGTGGCCCACTGCTCCCGAGAAAACACAGGTTTATGTTCCGTGAATCCATTCCGTTGCGACGTATTCACAATCTTCTGTAGATTTTACGAATGAACGTCGTTTGACCAGTCAGTTGATATTTCCTATAATATGTAAAATTGGAATTAGAATACTATGATTTCCTTTTTTTTTCTTTTTTTCGTAAACAGTAGATGACGTTTAACACTTACGTGTAAGAGGGAGTCCAATTTCAGAAGTTAACGAAGCAACACTTTGACTAATAACAAATTCCGTCTGATCTCTAAATCTCGTCGGTTCTTAAGACGCGTGCTCTATCGGGGAACCAGCCAATAGAAAATCGTTGTCACGTACTAAAGCGCACGTTCAGTGACAATCTCTGACAAACTTGTCGACGCGATAATACGGCGGTAACGGGCACGTTCGTAAACGTTTGGCGCGTTAGCTCTCCGATTGGATCATTACCGCTTCGTAGCCCAAAGCGACCAGAGAGGAGATTCGAGGCGTCCAAAGATTTTCACGCTTCGACAGGAAACGCAGTCTGTCTAATCACATCGAACGACGTTTTCACGGTACACCGGCGTGTCACGCGAAAAATGCTTCTCGTGCAACCCCTCCGTCGTTCTACCGACGCAAGCCCTAAGTGAATTATGGAATCGTCCTGATTTCGAATTTCGTTGCTTTCAAATCGAATAAGGTTTTAATCTACGGGTTCATCGATCGAGAACGGTCCCCCACGCGAAACGAAGTTTCGTATCAGTTCCGAGGGAACGAGATCGACATTCGACAAAGCCGGTGAAATTATTGTCGATGGAACGGGATACAGTAATGTTACTCAGACGGTCTTGGGTGGTGCTTGAAACCAATAGCCGTAAAAGCAGCTGCAGACATCTTCTTCCATTTTTCTAATGTTGATTTCGACACGATTTATCTCCTATAAAAATAGTATGTACAGTAGACTCCCGATTATACGGCCCCGCTTTAAACGGCCACATTATTTTGAGATGAAAACAATTGACTGGGAGAAACATGATTGACGTATTCCGTGATTATCCACTTTTCCCAACTAGATTTCCTTTTTGTCATAGTCTTTCCCTTATTAATTTCATTTTCTAT